ATCAAAATAAGAAATTTATCATCTAATAAAACACAAACCTTATGATGTCAGTCAAGACGATCAGCAAGATAAGAACCTAAGTGAGACTAAAGAGGACTGTCTAAGTACATAAGCTGCACACTTTGAGAGAAAGCCTCTCTAGTGCTTTGGACAGTTGGTAAAATTGTGTGCATCTTGCTAAAAGAACACGAAAAGAGAAATCTGCAATTTGGCATTCTTAAATGAATCCTAAAGATTTAAGATTTATTTTGGTTACCTCACATATTTGCAAAAAAATAAAATAAGATCTTGTTTATCAACAGGTGCAATATGGTGTGATAACCTTGATTAAAAATGTTTGTGTTTTGGTTTCATAGTATCAATACTAGCACTGAAACAGTTCATCTCATTAATCGAGATTAACCGATTATTGAAATAACCGTCAAATAATTTAGTGATAGATAAATCATTAATGGAGTGTAGAGACTCTAAAACATGCATCTAGCTGACAGAGTGACCCACTTAGACAAGTAATTATATCACAATTGTAAAAAATATATATATATATATATATAAACATTGCATTTAAGATAAAAAAAAAAAAACATTTTCGTCTGTCAATATGCTCTATCCAGAACCCCTCAAGTGAAAATTTTTAGTTTCACCTGGTTTAATTTCATAAAGCATCTTTTGGTTGTGCTGTCCGATTATTAATCGATTAATTGAAAAGTTAAACAATAGATTAATCGATTAATTGAAATGTTAAAAGATAGATTAATCAATTTGCAAAATAATCATTGATTGCAGCCCTAATTAATACATAACAAAATATCAAAATAACTCATCTTATTGTTTTTATTTTAAACACAACAAACATATACATCACAGAAAGAACCATATTACTCCAATACTATGTTATTAATTCCAGTAAATTGCATACGTTTTGAAGTCCTGCTCTTTACAAACTAACTCAAATCGTTCCAATAGCTGCTTCTTTAGGATGCTCCCACAGCCAGTCTGCACTAGACTGCTTTAAAAACAACCATGTATTTCCAAAACAGTCAAATTTAGCTCCTTTTTTTTTTTTTTTTTTTAGAGCAAGTAAGAATTGTCAGTTTTCTTTCCACCAGCTAACTGTTAATGTGCAGCATGAAGTGTGGAAAATTCATTGCTTTTATTTAGCCAAGAAAAAATGTTGTTCAATCCAACACATTCAAAAGGATTTCAAACTGTATGGACTATGTATTTAAAAAAAATGTTTTTGAAACTACTTTTTTTTTAATCTTTATAATACACTGTATGTACACAGAACCACCACTGTTCCCAACAACCTCAATAAGTTGTAACATTCATGCAGATTTTGCACAGTTTTTAACTAACATGCTGCTGTTTTGCAAATCTCTGATGTTATTTTCAAATATCTATTACTATAAAAATGTCTATAGCTGTATATCTGTCACTTATTCTCCAGGTGCATGGTTTTTATATTGTTAGAACTCTTTACAGTACAGTATTTTATTATCTTTTAACTCTTCACTATTATGCTATTCTTATACATTTTTCTAAGGTCCATATTTGTGTGACAAATTGTTCTACAATCTTTTTGCTGCTGTAAACATCAGAATTTCCCCACTGTGGGACAATAAAAGGATTTTCTATTCTATATTGATTGTATCGAAAGGGGATAATTGATACTTAAAAATAATGTTACTGTATCCAGTTCTCGCTTGCACCAAATATTTAAACAGATTATTGTGAAATAAATGTAAGGCATATTTTTAATTAGGTGAGTTAGATTTTATTATAACAAAACAAAACTGATGCAATCTGTTGAGATGCCAATTGGCGCTGTATAAATAAACTGAATTTAATTGAACAGATCAAAGTGTTGCATCAACTTATTTTACCAGCAATGTTAATTTAAAGAAAGCCAGGAAAGAGTTAAGACATAAATCTGAGGTCTGAAACAAAGCAAGAGAATTATAGATCTTAAACAGTACACACTACAGAACAAGTTCCTACTGCGATCAAATATTTTTTTAACTCGTAGCAAAGAGCAGAGAAGCTTATTTACCCTTGATCGTCCTCCGAGGAAGACTCGGAGCCTTCCTTCTCGCAAACCACGGCTGGCATTTTCCCCTGAAGTGAGGGTGACTATCAGGCGATTCCTCCAGGCAGCAACGTAAGCTGTTCTATGAAGAACAGAGGCGGTTATCCTTGTCAGCACACTTCATAAATAGGAATAGCACCCATTTCAATATGAATCAAATTCTGTCACGGGTATAAATGAGCTCATTCTTGGATAATAACACCTTTATAAATCTACCTGTGTCTGCGATGAAATCCTCTTACAGCCCAAATATAACACGGTTGCACGGAGTGACGCTTATCTTACATGCTGCTTATAGCTAAAACAGAGCAATTTTAAATTTTAAAACAGGCAACGGGTTTTATGTTTTTAAACCAAAGTATTATCGTAAACCGACATAAACTCACTCGTGGCTTCCGATGCAGAAAGGCTAACCGCTCACTAGCTGACAGAGGCATCACAGCGCCGTTAATCTTCCTGGTTACTACAACAACTGAGTAGCAACAGAGCAGTGCGCATGCGCACTTGCTTCAAGCGTCTGTCACATTTAAATTGAACTGTTAATCCGCCATTACAGCAGGTGCATTGATTTATACGGAAGAGGAAAAATCTGATTTTTTAGATTTTATTTTAGTATGAGAGAAAATTCAGAATTCTGACTTTTTTCTCAGAATTCTGACTTTAATCTCAGAATTCTGCCTTTTTTTCTCAGAATTCTGACTTTAATTTCATAATTCTGACTTAAATCTCAGAAGTCTGACTTTAATCTCAGATTTCTGACTTTAATCTCATAATTCTGACTTTTTTTTCTCAGAATTCCGACCTTTTTCTCAGAATACTGACTTTAATCTCAGAATTCTGACTTTTTTCCCCTTTTTAAACTGAAATCAGTTTACTGTTTTTTTTAGTGGACCTAATCCTCTTCTGTAGACACCAAATATGCAAAAAAAAACTATCTATATGTAAGTTCTTCCCCTATTACTTTGATTTTTCTATTATAAAATCAAATGTAATTTTCATATCTATAAATTCTTAGTGATATTTGATGGTGAATTCTTAAATTGTTCATCTATAATTTTCAAAAAGACAAAGTAGCCTATTCAAATATTTTTGTATATATTTTGAATCATATTTAGGTATGATCTATACATTTTCAAATGTGTGTAGCACATATCTTTGCTTAAAATAGATATATACATAAATTATATATGAATGTTTATATATATATATATATATATATATATATATATTTTTTTTTTTTTTTTTTTTTTTGCATTAAATTCATGATATGTAGTCTATCCGATTTTCACATCACATTTTTGATGGCACCATGCATTTGGGTCAAATGATGGTTACAAATGACTTCAGTCAACCAGCGTTATGAAACACAAATGACTACAAAATATCCCAGATTTGGCAAACTAAGCATGGCTTAACAGCTAAGCCAGTTTTATGAACCACTCCTCAGGACAAACAACTCCCATCCAAAACAGAGGGTGGCAGCAGCGATGCTCTTAACTGTAATTTCCTAACTAACTTGACATTATAGGTGTTACTGTTAACCTCAAACTGATAACAAAAATACAGTTATGAATCACACACTTAATATACTAACATAAAGATGACAAATACTCTTTTCAGAACTAATTTGTGCGTTATGGGTATAAACGGTTCTAAACAGGGGTCAACAGGGGCCAATTCCCCTGTAGAACTAGTCCTGGTCCCTACTATGGCCCCTGTACTGATTTTCTCTAGATGATATGCGACGGCACATAGACCGTAACTGACCAGTTGGACCACTTTTATTTTGTGCTATTGATTTGTTTCATTAATGGTCATCCAAACACTGTCTCTAGCTCTAAAACATTGCACTGCACTGTTGTCAGAATCATTTAAAAACATGAATGACATTATCTTATATCGCATAATTATCTTTAGCATCAGACATTTATTATGTGTAATTTCATTTTCATAAACTTTGCAAATAGAAATGTCCATGTGAAGGTTTAAATGATTTTTTTTATTTACACACAGACACACACACACACATATATATATATATATATATATATATATATATATATATATATATATATATATATATATATATATATATATAATTGCCATGTAAATTTAAAGTTACGGTTATTTCAATAAAGCTCTAAGGCCTTCACACAACATCTGTATAATTAAACAAAAAATATATATGACTTTAAAAAGTAATTACTGTAGTAGTAGTGTTTTATATTGTGGGATTAAATTAAAGTGGAATGACTAAGAATGGAATTCACACTTTTGAGAATTCTATTTATTACTTTTGAAAATATATGTCCTTTTATTGTACTTAGCTGTGTTTTGGGCTTTCACAATCATTTTATTAACATCCTGAACTGTCAAAGCTTTTTAATGTGTGCTCATGAAGACACATTTGATTTATTTGTTCATCAGATGTGACATATCCAGTATTTAATTGTTTATGATTTAAAAGGACAAACAACAATATTTTGACAACTACAAGTAAGGAAACCAAAGATGGCTCAAGTTCAGGAAATAGGGGAATTGGGCATACAACCCATTGTTGTGGCAAGGAAATGTATTTTAATCAAGCATAATAATAAATTCAGAAAGAATACATATTTTCTGTCTTGTTAAGATCTCCTTTTTCCATATCTATCCAGCCAAAAAAGCAATACAATAAATTAAATGTTCCAATGTAATACAATTCGATAAAACATGTTCAAATCTACCTGTCAGTTCCCTAACCATAGATATGAATGCCTCTATCTATACTATACACTAACGTGATGTCTATCGTTCTAAAGGAATTGGTGAAATCTCATTGGTCAGATAAGAAGGTGGGCGGTAGCTCAAGATTTATGACAACCAATCAGAATAATGGTACGATTGAATGGAGTCATTTTTGGAGGTTTCTCATTGGTTGGCGCTGAGGGCAAAGATAGGGAAAAATTCTCAGTGCTAAATGCAGCAATGCTCTGTTGTTTAGGCTGTTTGTTGGTTAATATTAACAGATCGTCTTTCAGAAACTAAACGACGCAGTAGTTCGGCGGACGCCGGTGGGTAACTTCATGAAAAATTCACGATTTTGTTTGTTGGAAAATAAATCTTATTGAGAATTTAAGGTAATATTACCCTGCTTAGAGATCTAATGCTTTATAATCTCCTGACAGATGACCTTGAATGTGTTTTAAACCGCTGCTGGCAGTCTGAGGTTTCCTGCCCTGCTATGAGCAGACGGACTGGCGGACAGGTTCAGCACTGACAGCAGACATGAGCCGCTTTCTGAACGTCCTCCGGAGCTGGCTGGTGATGGTGTCCGTCATCGCGATGGGAAACACCGTGCAGAGTTTCAGGGACCATAGCTTCCTCTCAGAGAAGCTCTACACGGGAACACCAGAGTTTGGTGAGCATCATGTGGTGAAAGGATGCATTCATGATCAAATATAAACTAGAAAAAATCCCTAAAATTCATTATTCAATATTGAATAAACAAGGAAAGCAGGGGGTAAAATTTTAATATGCTAAGTTAAAAATTGATTTCTGGTTAGGATACATTAGAAAACCTTCTTTAGCAGATTATGCGTCAGCTTAGGGATTTATAAAGATCTCAAAAAAAATTTGCAATCTGACAAGTGACTGTATCAGTGCAGCTTTCCAATCATCTCATACCAGCTGTGATGCACAGAGCTGGGGGTGTCATGGTGTGGGGATCCTGCAACAGCACAAATATTGGTAAGCAGAGACAGCATTCGCTTACGGGCCCACGCAAAGCCGTAACAACGCAACAATAGGCCCATAAGCAACATTATCTGAGTGGGCCCCATATGAAGTTCAACACCCCCCCCCCCCCCCCCCCAACCCGAAATGTTCCCCATTAGGGGTGTAAATAATAATCATTTTGTATCGATCCAACAGCCGACGATCCAATGCATCGAAACGTCCGCAAGAGTACCGATTAATTTTTTATTTTTTTTCTCCCTCCGGTCTATTTTTACAATTTGAGAGAGGTGTAGTGGAGCGTCTGTGGAGGGGGCGGGACATCGCAAGATCATAAAGTGATGATCTTTGCAGATGTAATGGTGCAAAAAATTCCTCTTAAACCCACTTGATACTAAAGCAACTGACCGCACCGGACCAGATTTATACCGCAACACATGCCAGATTTCAACATGATGGTGAGTCATTTAAACACGACACCAATAGCAAAGAGGACAGTGGTACCTGCGGTTGTTGCGGTTCGATAAGCATCTCCCTGAAATTAGTTTTTGGAACTTGGGATGTCTGCAACATGTGGTGGTGCGCTGTCACCAATGGTTCCATTCAAGGTGCGCAGTCACTATTTTTCGTGGTGTGTGATCATATACTACTTATAGTACTACTCATAGAAATGCATAATTGTATCTTCTTGGTCGATTTATGGAACTGTTGCCGCATCCTGAACCTTTATCACGTTTTGTACTTCATATGGGGCCCACCCAGATAATTTAGCTTACATTGTTGTGTCGTTACGCCATTGGCATCCAGGCTGACCATTCAGAATTCCAGCATGAGTCAGAAGATGCTTTGGGAACATTTCAGACCATCCATAACAAATTTAAAGCTTAACTCTAAATATATGCATCAAAAAATCTTTTAGTCCATCCATCCATCAGATGGATGGATGGATATAAGAAAGTGACCAACCATCGGACAGGTTAAGGGGAGGCGTAGTAAAAACTGTCCTCAGATCGATGTCAGTGAGATACTACACAGGAGGGGGTAGAGTCCCCTCATTTTTCCTCTGCTAGAAAACATCTCTGTACAGATTTTGAAACATTTAATTTTATTGTTTCGCTAAAATATATGTTCCAATTTCTGCAACAACCAGAGGTTGATTAAAACAGCAAATTACAGGTGTATGATCATGTAACCTATCAGAAACAGATCTGAAACTCAGAGTTGTACCTTATATACTGACTGCTTTATCATGCCCCACCCTTCACTCCCCTTTACTTACAGTAAATGGTCTCCAAGCTCGAACATTTGGTATCTGGACGTTGCTGTCATCGATCATCCGCTGCGCCTGTGCTATCGACATTCAGAACAGAACGTAAGCCTTCCAGTTATGGTTTTAAAAATCTTACATGCTTTTGGCTCACAGTATTATGTTCATCTTGGCTCCTACAGGCTCTATCACATCACTTTATGGACGTTCGTTCTGGCACTGGGTCATTTTCTCTCCGAAGCATTCATCTATAAAACTGCACCGCTCACTATTGGAGTCATGGCACCACTTATCGTTGCAAGTAAGCATAGAGTTATAATTCCTTTTCAGAACTAGTTGTAATATTTTTAATTTTGAAAATAATTAATATATAAGTTACTGATATGGGAAGCATCAAATCTTGTTTTTTTTTCATTTCAGGTTTCTCAATTATAGGAATGCTGATTGGATTCCAGTGTTTTCCAGAGACTCAGGAAGAAGTGGGAGCGCGGCAAAAGAAGCGAAACTAGTTTCCTCCTATTAGCCAAATCCACCACCAGCACACGTACCGACTGTTGTATCCAGAAGGATGAAGCTCATGTGAATTATTTACCAGACTTTGTACTTCACTCTTTACTTAAAAGTATATTTTATTGTTAACAGTGCAGCTTTAAGGTTATTTACAGTTTACTGATTGTGAATTAAAACGGACAATATTATACTGGATTAAGCCACATATATAGTCAGTTTGTATTCAATTTTCTTGTCTATTTTTCCACTTTTCCAGCATCATTAATTTTCTTGAACTTCAGTTCAGATTTACCAAAAAAACCCATCATAACTACACAACGAATAACAGCGTTTCAACAGTTGTTGTAGCTGCATTTTGGTGTTTACTTTGTGCCCTTAAGGTTTTTTTCTGCTCTTAAAAAAAAAAGAAAATAAAACTTTTTGATGTTTTATACTCTTGCAATAAAAAAAAAGAATGTATTTTTGAAATTGTAAATCTACAGTAATTTAGACTTATGAAGGAGTAATTGTTTTTTATCTTTTGAAACGCATCACCCATCATAAATTTGAGTTCAAACTGAACTTTTTCCCCCAGTATTCAGTTTAATTTCCTCTGAATCTAAAACCTAAACATGTGGACTTGGTTTTCCTCAGGATTCACAAATACAGAAGCTGATTTGGTTTTTCAAAATATTTACATTGTTCTATTATAGTTCATCCACTTTCAACGTGCGTCTCTAATGCAGTTTAATGCTTTGTGTTTGCTGGTAACTTTGCATCATTTGTTTTGAAAGGTTCCACTTATCCTGTGTGCTGTGTGCTTTATTCCTACCTGCTCTTGTTTTAATCCATGTTTATTTAGGCATTCTTATGTAATCAAATTCACACCTTTTTGTGGCCCGTTTGTGTTTAGCAGGAATTTTATATAGTATCGTCACTGTTTGTTTTGGTATGTCCATACCTGTGATCATGAAAATGTTTTTGGTCATTACATGTGGAAAGCAAGAGCAAAAATGTTGAATATTTTTCAACAAAGACTTTGTTAATTATTACTAGAAATGTGTGCTCATTCATGCATCTGTTATCTAAATCAGTAGTCATCCTTTAGTCCTTTGGCCCATAAACCAGCCCTCTCTCATCCATTCAGTTTATTTTCATCCACTATTACAGATCAGCTTAACATTTCTTGATTCATTCATTCATTTACCTCCATCCAATCTGTCAATCCAACTATTCCTCTACATATCAATTCCCCCATCAATCCAGTTAGGTGTAAGGTTATCCACTCATCTTGTCATCCATCCATCAACCCTGTATGTTAATCTAGTCCATCTATTAATCAATTCATCCGTCAATCCATGTACCCACCATTCATTAGTCTGTTCATTAATCAATTTCTTCGTACAATATTTAATAAACACCCCCATCCAATCAATTTCCCCAAACTCTTATGCACAAACTGTATTCTGACTTCTGTAGAAAATCTCCAGTACATTTATAGTGCAGTATTAGATTTATTTCTTACAACAAATGTGTATTAAAACATTACAGACATTTTTTTTTCTTCTATAAAAGTATCCAGTGAAAACATTTGAGTGAAAAGTGGTAAATCTTTATATTTTGTGCAACATTCATCTTCAAGATATTCTTAAATGTTGAAGCAGATATTTAAACCTCAACTACAGGTGCTGGTCATAAAATTAGAATATCATGAAAAAGTAGATTGATTTCAGTAATTCCATTTAAAAAGTGAAACTTGTATATTATATTCATACATTACATACAAACTCATATATTTCAGATGTTTATTTTGTTTAATTTTGATGATTACAAATGACAACAAATGAAAATCTCAAATTCATCATATCAGAAAATTAGAATATTACTGAAGACCAATAAAAACAAAGGATTTATAGAAATGTTGGCCAACTGAAAAGTATGAACATGAAAAGTATGAGCATGTACAGCACTCAGTATTTAGTTGGGCCTCCTTTGGCCTGTATTACTGCAGCAATGCGGCGTGGCATGGAGTCGATCAGTCTGTGGCACTGCTCAGGTGTTATGATAGCCCAGGTTGCTCTAATAGTGGCTTTTAGCTCTTCTGAATTGTTGGGTCTGGTGTATTGCATCTTCTTCTTCACAATACCCCATAGATTTTCTATGGGGTTAAGGTCAGGAGAGTTTGCTGGCCAATTAAGAACAGGGATACCATGGTCCTTCAACCAGGTACTGGTAGCTTTGGCACTGTGTGCAGGTGCCAAGTCCTGTTGGAAAATGAAATCTGCATCTCCAAAAAGTTGGTCAGCTGCAGGAAGCATGAAGTGCTCTAAAACTTCCTGGTATGTGGCTGCGTTGACCCTGGACCTCAGAAAACACAATGGACCAACACCAGCAGATGACATGGCACCCCAAACCATCACTGACTGTGGAAACTTTACACTGGACTTCAAGCAACGTGGATGAAGTGCCTCTCTTCTTTTCCTCCAGACTCTGGGACCTTGATTTCCAAAGGAAATGCAAAATTTACTTTCATCAGAGAACATGACTTTGGACCACTCACCAGCAGTCCAGTCCTGTTTCTCTTTAGCCCAGGCAAGACGCTTCTGACGCTGTCTGTGGTTCAAGAGTGGCTTGACACAAGGAATGCGACAGCAGAAACCCATGTCTTTCATACGTCTGTGTGTGGTGGTTCTTGAAGCACTCACTCCAGCTGCAGTCCACTCTTTGTGAATCTCCCCCACATTTTTGAAGGGGTTTTGTTTCACAATCCTCTCCAGGGTGCGGTTATCTCTCTTGCTTGTACACTTTTTTCGACCACATCTTTTCCTTCCCTTCGCCTCTCTATTAATGTGCTTGGACACTGAGCTCTGTGAACAGCCAGCCTCTTTAGCGATGACCTTTTGTGTCTTGCCCTCCTTGTGCAAGGTGTCGATGGTCGTCTTTTGGACAACTGTCAAGTCAGCAGTCTTCCCCATGATTGTGTAGCCTATAGAACTAGACTGAAAGACCATTTAAAGGCTTTTGCAGGTGGTTTGAGTTAATTAGCTGATTAGAGTGTGGCACCAGGGGCCATCAATTTTGAACCTTTTCACAATATTCTAATTTTCTGATATGATGAATTTGAGATTTTCATTTGTTGTCATTTGTAATCATCAAAATTAAACAAAATAAACATCTGAAATATATGAGTTTGTATGTAATGTATGAATATAATATACAAGTTTCACTTTTTAAATGGAATTACTGAAATCAATCTACTTTTTCATGATATTCTAATTTTATGACCAGCACCTGTATTGTCTTGTTTTAAGAAAAGGACAAAACTGTCCTAATGGTGTCTTCTGATGCACAGCATCAGTGTTTCTCTGGAATACAATTCAGGGGATGCTTTAATGGGAAACAGTGACATAATGACAGTATGAAGGACGCACTTCTCAGTCATGATCTGCATTAATGATCCGTCTTACAAAACAACTTCTAAACAAGTACCTTCACCAGTGTTAAGACTTCAGTTGCCCACAGTACAAGTCTAGCGTCAGAAAAATAAATGAATACTATAAATTCATATTAACATTAAATGTATGAAACAAACAATGTAAAGATCAAAACAGTTTGGAGTCAGAAATATAGAAAGGGGTGCAAAAAATTGAGACCCAAGTCTTAACTGTAAACGCCACATTTTTTGAAGTGCATTTCAAAAGATCATACCATTTTCTGAAGGTTGTCAGTACAGTTCAAAAGGTGCAACAGTTTTAGCTTTCATGGTGACCGCCTGCTTGTACTCACTAGTCACACATCAGTTTTCCTTTCCTGTTTGCACATGTGTCCGTTTAACACTGTTTTATCTCCTGATGGTCTGCTAGCGAGACATCTTCCCTCCTTACAGCTTCCTCTCCTTCAGGACATCTTCTTGAGGGTCACTTATCTTCTGGAATAAACATGGACAGACAGAAAGCTCTAATGCAGCTTAGCTAAACCCCAAACAGAGTAAAATCTATGAGTGCATTTTGAAAAATACACCAAAATATTACAATTTCTCTATTTAGAGCCTGTGGGTTTCCCAGTTTCATATCTTGAATGTTAGAGCCTTAAAAAAAAAAAAAATAATAATGATATTAATGGGGTTATCCCCTACCTTGTCAGATGCGTTTAGGTTTTTATGAAGTTGTGAGGTAATGTCATGGCTGCCTCTGCACACTGTGGCACCGTAGTCCTGTACTGATGTCATAAACTCTGCAGGCTGGGATCATAGCTCCATTTCAAAGATCTGAGGGACCCTGAGGGTCTCCTCTCTTTCATTACCTCCACCACCAGAACCAGAAATGCCTGCACACCTACATACTCTAAGCAAAATGTAATAAGGAGTAAAAATACTCATTCCGTTGGCAGATCACCTTATTTACCTACTCAAATAAAAAAAACTTAATCATTTAAAGACATTTTTACTTATTTATAGATTGTTTTTGCAGAAATTTACCTAGCCTGACTTTTAATAGGTGTGCAGGAGTACTGTTTTTAGTTTAAGCTGTATTTTTTATTTTTAGAAGTAAAGCAAAAAAGAAGAGATTCAAAGATCCAGAAGAGGAGCCATGCTTAAAGCTACAGTGTGTAATTTTCAGCGACATCTAACGTCCAGACTGCAGACCGCAGCAACATGAACATCTCGCCCCCACCGCTTCTCCCCCCCAACAGTACGGCGAGCGTTACGGGACAAAATGTCTTCCACGACGTCCGCATCACCTACCTTCTCAAGTGATGAGGTTTGTTTACATAGATAATTTTACAGATAGTATTTCATTAGTCTGTGTGTTCAGTACCATCTCAGTTCATCTCTCTCAACTTGCCGTAGTTACTTTCAAACGTATTGGGCGATCTCGCAATCGCTAGTTTGTTGGCTCTGCGCTGCCGTAGCGCAAAGATGTCTGCCTCCATGCCTGCGAGACCCGCTCCTATGTAATTATAAATAACGAATTCTAAGGCAACGCAAATATTAAGGTTAAGAGGCTGGGCTCGTAGATGATGATAAATAACATAGTTATGTATAATATATTACATTTCTGACTGTATATCCCTGTAATTATTACACACTGTAGCTTTAAAATAAAGACTGAGCGTAAGCAATGGTAAATATGGGTTCGATTTTTAACAGCTTGAATTAAAAAAGTCCAAGGCCAATACATTCTGATTCAGGGCAAAGTTTTTATATAACAAAAACTTTCATAATGTCGCTTAACTAACCAGACACTGAACAGTACAGAGACATGTCAAAGAGCTTTAGTATCGTCGAAAATGTAATTTTAGAATTTTAGAATTACACTCAAAAAGTGAAGCCAGTAATACAGATTCGCTACAAACATTTAGAAGGTTTAGTTCTGATATGACTTGTATCTAAATATAGCTTCCTCTCC